TGGAAACGATGGACATGGACAAATTGTCCTGTTTGCAACAAACTTCACTACTTGGCCGTGCTCACGAGAGGGGGGGGTTGCCCGATGCAAGTGAGTGAAGCAACGAACTTCACATATGCTATCTCTTTGGACACGGGTGCATTTTGCTCGGCCCTTTGCTTGTCAGGCTTTTGTGTTTGGTGCAAGGCTGCGCAAGCACTCGGAACTTACGGGCCTTGTCCAGAACTACCATGCCTGAGTCAGACTTGACTCTGCCAGGCACTTTTTTTTGCTGCGGAGACGCTGCTGTTGTTTATGTGTTTGCGTGTTAGATTCTTGCTTCCTAGCTTCCTTGCTTGCTTGCTCGCTTGCTTTCTTGCTTGCTAATTTGCGTGCGGTGGCTTGTGAGAGATGTTTTGCTGTGATTCAGGTGGCTTACTAGCTTCATGTCGCTTTCCTGCTGGTCTGCATTGAAGTTTGTCAATGTAATAGTGGGCGTCACACTTTCCAGACATGGGTGTTTCTCAAAGATGAGCGTCCCCTAAAGTGGTTAGTATCCAGTGGTTTCCCTTTCAACACCAACTAAAAGGCTCCCACATGTCTTGATGCCAGCACTTGGAACAGACAGCCCGTGAGGAACTATACGATGTCGCACCCGGAGTCGTGGCAAGAGCAAATCACCTGTGGGGTGTATCCGACCAGCCAACCCGGCGGTGGGGTGGTCGTCAGCATGGAGTCCTTCCCATCGCAGGGCCTTCGCTGGCGCGTCTCTGCCACCCATCAGCTGTCCAAACTGCACGTCGCCCAGGCAGAAAGTGCAAAGAGCTCGATGTTTTTGTTTTGTTTTTTGTTTGTATTTTTTTCAATATTCCATGACGTCCATTTGCTGAAGTGGATGTTGTTGTTTTGTTGTTGTATTTCGTCCATTTGCTGAAGTGGACGTCTTTTTACATTTTTCCTTGTTGGTGTTATAAGGAAATCTATCACTACTGGAAATATGTGCTCACTTTTCCGGGGCGCTGAACCAAAAAAAGGCTGCGTTAGTGTGGGAGTTGTCCATTCAACTGTTGTGTTGGCGCGGCTGCGTGTGTGTGTGTTGGTTGGTGTGGGGTCGTCATGGTGTGTGTGTGTGTGTCTTTGTTTGTTGCATGTGTATTCGTGTTGCCGTTGGTATGTGTCGAACAACCTTGACGCCGTTTGGAGTTTGTCCACGCTTGTGCTTTTGCCATGGCATCAATCAAGAAAGACGGCTGACAAAGAAGGCTCGAAAGACCTAGCTCCGAGCAAGGCAAGCATGTGAACCACGCTTGAGGATCCAGGCTTGATGGGGCTTATGGGTTTGTCCCGCGAAACAAAGCATGACATAATACACACTTTAGGCCAAACGCCACCAGGATGCAGTTCAACTTGGATGCGTCTCTAACAATCCGGGGGCCTAAAACTGTTGTTTTGTTTTTCGCTCGTGTTCCCCTTGAATCCAACCCCTTTCTGGGGAACCCTCCAAAGACGGACTGCCAGATCTTCCCAGCTTCCCCAAAACCCGGCACGTAGTTCCGTGATGCGGAGCCCCAGGTTTAAAGGGAAAGGTGAAAGCTCTCCTTCCCAACGCGAATCGACCTTTTGCTTTTTTTGGTTTGTCTTTCGGTTCCGAAAGCACCTTCTATTTCCAAAAGCCTCAGGGGTAAGTTAGAAAGGGAACCGTCTTGGGACAACTCCATCTAGGTCCCCCAGTGCCCGTTCTTTCTCATCCCTTTTTTGGTTGGGAGGGTTCCCCTACTAAAATAGACTGCAGAAAAAAGTTGGTACCAACTTATTCTAACCTCTCTACTTGAGGACCTAGACCCCATTTTCCCCGCTGTTCCGTCCAAAGCCCAAGCCTTATTTTGGCCAAGATTGACTTGGCCAACTCGCAGAATTCCAGTAAAACTAGGTGAAACCGTGTTCACGGTCTTCACGGTTTCCAGGGCTGATCAAAAGTAAAACTGGTCAACATTGAGGTTGACCAAGTTAGCCTTGGTCAAGGAAGGCCAGGGACAGAACGATTTTTCTTGGAGCCTTTTTGAGTTGCAAGTTGCAAGTGGCCGGAGGTGCGGAGCGATGCCTCGCTGTTGCTCACGGAACTTCTGGAAGAAGCTGTGACTCGCCTCAGAGCATCGGCCTTCGGACCTTTTCTCTGGGGGTTGATTCCTTTTCCATTCTTTTCAACCATCGTTCTTTTCAATAACCGTTTGTTTCCCCTGGGGTTTTTGATGGTTTCCTGAAAAGATCAGGATCCCTGGAAAGAATGGAAATGGAAGGTACCCCTAGATTTTCGTCTTTTCACCTTTTGGTGGGCTCAATATTTTAACCAGCTGGGGCAAACCGCAGGTTTTTCAGTCTTTTTCATTTGCCATTTGGTGCCATGTTTGGGTTAACCATGTCTTGGACCCACTGCCCTTTGGTCTTAAAACGCTGTTCCTCTGGCGGCTGTACGCGGGTTCCGCAAGCTTGTAGGGTTCCAAAAGGATAATCAGCTTCTTGTGGGTAGGGAAGCCATCCCTGGTGCCCCACCACGCTCCCTTTGGAGCCCTTTTAGCGGGGGACCAAGAACATGGTTTTTCCGGGGTCCTCTTGCTTTCCCTTGACCAACCAAACAAAAGGCACCCTTTAAAAGGGCAGCCACCCCCCCATTGTTCATCTTTTAGTTCCAAAAAGGTGTGTTCCACATTCCATGTTAAACTGGACACTTTCTCTTGGGATTCCCAGGTATATATTTTTTTCAGGCCCGATTTTTGCCAAGATGCAAGGTTTTTGGGATCCCCACATGTCTTTTGGGATGTTACGTGTTTCTCTCTTTTTCAGGTCACCTGAGATGCGGGTATGGGTCAAAATGAAACCACCAGGATATGGGCCGGTTTTAGTCCATGTTTCCTTTCACAAGGCAAGCCCATTTCATACAGTCGCTCCATTCAAATAGCCCTCCACATGATTGTGCTTGGGGCTGAGTGTGAATTCATGCAGGCGCGTCATGCCATGACTCGAAGCCGATGCAGAGAGAGAGAGAGAGGGCAACCCATTTTAGATTTCCCCATTTGGCAGTGGCTCAAATTGAGCTAGGGTTACGCAGGTTTTGGTCCACCATGTTTCCGCTTACCAGGGTTTCATTTCGGAATTCCGGCTTTTTGAGCCATACCCATTTGGCCCAACCGCAGCCATCTGTTTCATTCGGCCCAACCTCCCAGGTGAAGCTGGGCATTGAGTGGCCCGAGGCCACCGAGAGAGGCTCTGTGGCACAGCCGGCCATGTGCTAACAGGAGGTCGATTTGCCAGGTATCCATACGGGGGAGGAGAACCCCCCCAAAAAAACAAGGAAAAGCGGTGGTTGTCAAGAATAGGGAAACCTCGAAATGGGTTGTGCTGGTAAATGGAAAGGACTAACACCCGCGGTCCACATTCTGGTTTAATTTTGACCCAAATACCCTAAAAGAAGGAGGTTGCAAAATCGATCCTACTGTGGATGGTTGCGAAATCCGTTCGCACCACCCAAGAAACAATGGGAAATCCTTTTTTGTTGGTAAGAACTGAGAATCATCATTCCAGGGTTTCTTCGGGGGGTGCAGGATTTAGTCCATGCGCGGGTCACCCACAAAAGTGATCGGGATTTGCACTAACAGGGGAGCAGTTGCTACGCATCACAGGGATTATCAATTTTGCGGATCTGTGGGCGTGTTTTAGGGGGCACCCCCAAAATTCCCAGATGCATCTGTTTTCCGTTGTTTTTCTCTGAACCCCCAAACAAACAGCACACACGCCCTCAAAAAAGTCAACACCTACTGTGGATGGACGAAATCCATTTCGCACCACCGTTCAGAATCCCTGGTTTCTGATGATTCCATTGTAAATTCCAACAAACCATGGTTTCAACCATGGTTTCAAAGTGGGTTTCAACCATGGCTTCATTTCGTGGTGCGAAATGGATTTCGCAACCATCCGCAGTAGTTTCAGGAAGCTGGCCAAGGGCAAAAATAGCCAAGATAGCATTGGAATTGCAGTTGTGTATCCCTCCTGCCCTTTTTGCGGCTCGACATGCTTGCAAAAATAATACCCTCCAGACTAGCATAGAAGCTCCCAGGACCCCTTTGGAAGACTTAGTTCCATTTACAGAGGGCTTCTGGGAGCTTCCATGTTAGTCTGAGGGAGTGTAGCTAGCTTTCCCGATTGGTTGAAAGTCTGTTTGGCACGGGAGCTCGCCGAGCGAGCTCATGGCCAGTTTAGCTTGGAGATACAATACTTGCACAGCTGTTTCCATTGCATTAGGAATGCTGTATATTTCCCCTGTTGGTTTTAAAGTGAGTCCATCGCTACTGGAAATATGTTTCTTTTTCCAGGGGACCTAAGCAGCTGGAAGGCTATTGATTGCACTTGTCCACCAGATACTCATTTTAAGTGTCATTTTTGCCACGCGTCCGGCGGTCGGGTGAAGGTAGATGGCACGATTCTCATGTACCGAGGTGAACTGGGGTCTCCTCCAAAATTCTTAATTTGGGCTACACTAAATATAGAAAAGAGTCAGAACAAGTTGTTTTTTGTTCCGTGTACCCATGGGCCAAGTAAAGGGGATAAGGCCCAAACGGGCAGGTCGTGCCACCTACTCTCAGCCCCCGTGTAGCGCAAAAGCGCAAAGTGCGGCCGGCATCGTTTGGAACAAAGAGGCTCCGACTCGCTGCAGAGTTTGTCGGAGGCGCGACACGCATGGTGGAAATACCCTCCTTGGGGGTGGAATCCAGGGTTAAACAAAGAGAAGCCCTTGAATAATTTTGAAGACATTTGCACCTTGTGAGTTGCAACAGATTGGACCCCCCTAAGTGACGGGACTTTTTGTCCCCTACATGATGTCCACCAAATCGGGTCCCCGATTCTATGTTCATTGTTTGGTTCTAAAGGGAATCTATCACTGGACATATCTTCTCGTTTTTGGCTGGGGACGTATCCGCAAATGGAAGCTAGCCGCCTGGCTTGGGCTCGCCATGCAGAGTTGTGAGGAGCGCTGCCCGAGGATCTTTGCCCAGGCAATGCTCGAACCGAAGGGCGGGTGCGCAGATCAACAAATCGGTGTGTCTTAGAAATAGGAATCGGACCCCCCCCCAACAAAAAAGTTTCTCCAATGATGGTTTCCCTTCAAACTCAAAACCAACCAGAAAAAGGGTAGCCTCAAAAACAGAGAAGGGGTCCCAACAGAAATCAGCAGCCAATTTCTCCCAGTGCTTGCAGGCAAGCCAGCGGCAGCAGACAGCCAGGGCTTCTTACCTCTAGTTTTCACAAGATGGTTTATGGATTCCTATAGTGGCTTGCCTGGAAGCACTGATTTTGTTCTCCGTAGTTTCAGTGATTCAGCACGCCAATAATGGCTTGACTCTCAAGCTTGTTTGTTGGCATCTCTTTGTTATTGAACAGGTCGACTCCAAGCCGCGAGTTCCTGGGAAGATTGCTGAACCCGTCAGGACGGAATGCATGCAAACAGGGCAAGAAGATTTGAATGATATCTCCCTGATGCGCTACATGAATTGCATGGCGCCTTGCTTCCGAAACCCCAAAGTGGGGAAATCAACAATGGGCTGAACGACACGTGCTGTAGGACTCGCTCCCTTCATGGATTTTGGTCACTTTGGGAAGACCATTTGAGTGACAAACAAGAAGTTCGGTACTTTTGTTTGACCCCTCAAGAGTGAGATGTACTGCACCCTTCCGGCAAATGCTAGTGGCTTCAGAAATGGTTCAATCGGCGCCAAGCGGCCGGTTTAATGATTTTCGGCCCCTCTGGGGTGGCCATTGCTTGCTTCCGGTGAACTATTAGGTGGGTCAACTAAACTTAGAAAAGTCTGAAAAGGGAAACCAGTCAGTAATCAATAGAATGGCTCCGATGTCTATCGGCGGGGGACATAGCCATACAGTGGGTGAACCACAGAACAAAAGAAGCCTGACCAAAGGCCGGATTTCTCCCCCGTCCCCTCTTTGTATCTTCATGTATGCATGTGGAAATCTAGTAATATATATATATATTATATACATGGGTCTGTCGTTTTTGGGGGAACCAATTGGCACCCTCAAAAACACACTCATATGGGGGTTGATCAATATTCCTGGCCTCCAAGTGATGATGGGTAACTTTTTCATTTAGTGGAAACTATCATCTTTTAGTGGTTTTCCCCAATGGTCATCTCATGTAAAGGACCGTTTCATCAACTCCGAATGATACGCACACTTATAGCAACCACTAGCAGCTGCCCTTGGTCCATTTCCTGCAACCCTAGAAAAGGGGTAACCAGTGCCCTGCGAACGCTTTAGCTATTGGAACGCTGTCAAAGGAACCATCAAGCATTTTGCCCCCATTGAACTTGTGAGAAGGGAATGCCATGCAGCCGAGTCTGTTGCGTGAGTATTCTTTGGATGGGGTGATGGACAAATTGGGGAAATACGGGGACCTCTGAAGCATGCTTACCACAATTCCATATCTTGGTGGTTCCCAGCCATCCCTTAGCTTTTTATCTTTTTAGGTTTTAGTGGCTAGTGGTAGTTTCCATTTAACCCACAAAAATAAAGCCAGACTTTCAGAAGCGGATCGGACAACGGACAGTGATCTGCTGATCAGCTTGGCTCATGTCCGCAGGGTCCAGACTTGAAATGGATGTTTCTCAAACCTCGGGTGGTTTCCTGTGGGTTTCCCTTTGGCATCCAAAAAGGCATGCGGCCAAAAGCAGGCCCCAAATTCCCAAATCGAATGGCTTGAGTCAGAAGTGCTTGGCACATTCATTTGAGTTCGTCAGATTGGGCTCTATGTTTTGAGTCCGGTTCTTGTGAATCTGATAGAGATTGGGCTAGAATCCTTTACTCTAGGGGTCCCTTCCATTTCCATTCTTTGTAGGGGGCCTTTACAGAAAACCTCCAGGAACACGTGGAAAACGCCTGGCAGCCTGGCTTTGGAAAGGTATGGATGTAATCAACCTTTAGATTTCCCTGTTTGTTCCTTTGTGGACTCAAGTGGCGATTCCCAGGTGGATTTGCGCTTGACGAAGGAGACGCAGCCAGGGCCTCTTTTGATTTCAAGAACATGTTTTCGGCGCATTGGGTCGCTGCGTTTTGGTGGGTACCCCTCTTATCGGGTTGGTCTTAACCGGAGGCCAGGAAGTACTGCATTGGGCCAAGAGCATCCGGATTCTTTGGACCGAGAGCATTGAGAGGTCGTAGGTAGCTTGAGAGCTGGCGAACTCAAGGGCTAAGAAGTGGTCGTTTCCTGGGTGTCCACACTATTTTAGGGTGGACTAAACAGGGAACCGAAGCAGAACTTGGTTTTCTGCGTAGCCCTGGCGGCCAAGCTTTCGCGGGACCCTTGAAGGCAAAGGACTTCCGCTTGCGACTCTGGCCTAGGTCGCAGCGGGCGGTCGTATGCGTCTTGCGGAGGCACGCGGACTGAAATGGACACGTCTTAGGCTCTGAGGCCAAGCAAGCTCGCTCATGGCAACACCTGGATGGCTGTATTACATTCAACTCGCGCAAGAAACAAAGAAATAAAGCAAGGAAGGAAGGAAGGAAGGAAGGAAGGAAGGAAGGAAGGAAGGAAGGAAGGAAGGAAGGACGTAAGGAAGGAACGAAGGAACGAAGGAACGAAGGACATGAGGAAATAAGGAAATAAGGAAATACATAAATAAAACAATTAGCACGGAAGACGCCAATTCAAAAATATGTAAGTAGAAAAGTAGACAACACAAACGGAAATAAAGAAAGAAGTAAATAAGGAAGAAAGGAAGGAAGGAAGGAATAAAGAAATAACGAAAGACCGAGAGGGAGAAAAGGAGAGAGGGAGAGAGACAGAGAGGGAGAGAGAGAAAGAGAGAGAGAGAGAGAAAAAAAAAAGGAGAGAAATAGAGAGAGCTATAGAGAGAGCGAGAGAGAGCTATAGAGAGAGAGAGAGAGAGAGCGCTATAGAGAGAGAGAGAGAGAGAGAAAGAGAGAGAGCTAAGAGAGAGAGAGAGAGAGAGAGAGAGAGAGAGAGAGAGAGAGAGAAAGAGAGGCACAGGCGGAGGCAGAGGCACAAGCGGAGATGGAGTCCAACAAACGAACAGTTTCCATTTGTCCAACTTTTGAATTGGAACATCAAAGCAGGACAAAAGTGCTGCGAAAACACAAACACATCCCTACCTTCCAGAATACTCCAGAGAATATCGTGACATGTTTTTTTGTTTGCAACAAAGAGGCTACAAGCCAACTCACTCCCTGAGTTCCTTGACTTTAGTCACTTTTTGGGAAGACCATCAAAGTGACAAATCAATAGTTTGGATACTTGTTATGGCCAATCCACGGAAGTTCAGGTAACCTTTAGTTGGTGGTTCGGATTGGTTGTTTGGGGACTTGAACCGTTGGTGTTTGTAGGTTGAAAAATGGGAAACCGCCCCACCAATTCACCAATCTAAAACAACTTGGAGGAAGCTGACTTGTTTAGGGACCAAGAAAATGGATTTTGGTTTTCTTCCTGGTTTCCCTTTGAAAACCAACCCACCCAAAAAGAACAAAATGGATTTCGATTTTCCTCCCGGTTTCCCTTCAAAACACCAACCCACCCAAAAAAAGACAAAGCCACCTCTCCAAACCACCCAGAAGGAAGCTGAGAGGTGAGCCGGGCGAGGTACTGCAGCGCGCTGAACGGGGATCAGCTGCCTTTGGCGCTGCGAAGGTTAGCCAAGGAGGCGATCGCTCGCGGGCAGAGAGGGAGAGAGCCGCTGACGTGCCACTGTTTTTTTTTTTTTTTTTTTCTTCCATTTGCTGAAAAGAAAGTGTTTTTTGTTTTTCCCTGTTGGTTTTAAAGAGAAACTATCACTACTGGACATATTTTTACTTTTTCCCAGAGACTCAAGCAAATGGAAGGGGTACAATAGGGTGCAGCGTAACAGCAGTGACGGTAGGCTGAGGGTGCAAAAAGGAAACAGGAGCTCAAGAATGAATCCAAAAAGGGCGACAACTGTTTGTTCTTTTTTCGGGAACCCGAATCTTTGAGACAAACCCAATTGGGATTCTCTAATGGTTTGGATTGAAGGTTAAAGGGTGGTTCCCATTAGAACCCCGCCTCCCCCAAAACGAAGAAAACAGTTTCAGTTTGCTGGGGATGGGAACCCCCCCCAATGGATATACCTTAAACAAATGGTGGGTGTGTGGGTTCCATGTTAAACTGGAGAGTAGTTTCCCGTTTTCGGCTCCCATCTTCAATGTGTTGGTTCCAAAAGGCGACAACCGCAAGTGAGTTGCCCCTTTGACTTGACTGCTGTTGGGTTGGATGTTTAGACTTTAACTTTTTGGGAAATCAAGGGGTTTTCCACTAAACTCCGCAAAAAGTTATTTTTTTTGCAGGGGGTCAACTGCAACCAAGTTCAGTACTGGTTGAGCACGGAGCTAGGAATTTCATGCCTTAGATCTACTCTGGTCGGAGACTCCTTCCTCGTTCCTGCTCCCTTGCGAACAGGCGCCATTGGTCTTGGATTGCCAAACGGAGCCAAGCCCAACCCAATTAGAGGTGTCCATTTGCTGACGTGAATATAGTACTAGATCCCCCAGCAATACCCTTTTACCCTTTTTTGGGGAGGGTTCCCCTACTAAAATAGACTACACGGGTACCCTTATTGTAACCTCTCTACTGGAGGACCTAGAATATGTTGTCTTCTCTGTTGGTTTTAAAGACACTTAAGCAAGTCGAGGGTAGGGAGCCGAGGCTCCGTCGTTTTCAGACAACCTCAGATTAACTTCAAGCTGAGAATGCGCCAGCTTGGGATTCCATTTACTGGGCTGTTCAAAGGTAATCCTGAATTGTTACCTTGAGTTACCAAAGTGGTCCCCTTCGTACGCTTTGTAGTAGTTTCCCAATAGGGGTTGTGGATTGAGGCTTGGCCAACACGAGCCAGTTTGAACAGCCCAGATTGATATCAACCTGGGTTTTCCAAAAGCTGACAACTGGGACATGTTTTCATCGTGTGTTGTTGTTGTTGTGTTTTGTTTTCTTCTTCTTTTTTTTTTTTTTTTTTTTTTTTTTTTTTTTTTTTTTTTCGGGCTGATCTTACTTGGCCCCGATTGGCTCCTCCTGCCTTAAGGTCCCTGTATTTTGTTCTGTTTAGAATGAATTTCCCGGAAAGGGGTGATGCTTAAAGGGCAAACACCGGGAGCCCTGTTAGAAGGGTACACGAATTGGGTCGGTATACGCGCACCAACTGCTATCTACCCACTAAATGGTAGAGGAGCTGTTGTGGGGCATAAGACACGGGGCTGAAGGAAGTCCAAATAGTCTCTCACTAACATCACAGATGTGGTTTTGCGGTAGTCCACTTCCCCATTCTATTTTTCCAGGCCCTTACCTGGCCGTTTAATCCACCAGGACATTCTACCGGAAGTTGGCTAGATTGTCCTGCAGGCCCTGGTACTGTTAGGGAGTCTTAAAGGGGGGGCACTACTCAGTTGTTCAGTGGCTCCCTGTTTCCCCTTTTTTTTTTTGTGGCTGCCCCACTAAAATGGTCCAAGCCCAAAAAAGGGTTCCAATTCTTTTATTTCCAGGGTCACTGAACAACTGAGACTAGCAAGGAGGGTAGTGGAGAGGTGAGTCTTAGGGAGTCTTTGGGAGTCTTAGGGAACCCCCTCCCCTCCTTCCACCCAGTTCCTTGAGCCTTAGGGAGGTTTAGGGAGGTTCCCCAGTGCCCTTTCTCACCCCAGTTTTGGGGGAGGGTGAACCAACATAGACAGACAAAACATCGGGAACTTATTCTAACCTCTCAAATCTGGAGGACCTAGGGGAGGTTTTTCCAGCCCCCCCCCCCTTCTGGGACCACCCCCCCTTTGGTCTGCCCTTTTTCTGAGGACCCAGCCAGTGCTTCGGACCTGTGTGCGGAGAAGATCCAAGAGCTGCAGGCGTTTCAATCAGAAAACCTGGAGTGTCTAGAGTCTCCTTCTGAGCCCTAGAAAAACGATTCACACTACAAAATAGCTCTCTCTCAAAAACTGGAAAAAATGGGGCCCTCATAGCTGCCCTTTCTGCAGAAAAAGGGGTCACAACCCATTAATTTTGGGTGACCCCATTTTTCAGTCATGGAGACTCCAGGTAGTCGTTTTCCAGCGGATTTGCTCGGCCCGGCTTGTGAGACTTGCTGGTTTTCGCTTGGATCGCATAGGAGCAGGGGGGTATCTACTCAACAACAAAACAACGAGCAAACGAGCAGATGATCATTTCCATGTGCCAGCTGTGAGAATCATGAGTTAGATCAACATATGTTCTATGTTGTTGTAATATGTATGGTACATGTCCTGGTGTCTTGACGATGGCTGGCTTTAAAAATCAATAAATAAATAAATTCAAAAAAAAGACGAGCATCGCCAGGCAGCACACGAAACTGTCCTGGAGGTTGTGGTGGTTGGGATGTTGGGCATCTCGTCATCTTGTGCTCCTTTGATGCTAGCGAGCTTCGCAAGATAACAGGACCCGTTTTTTGGAAGCTAGACAAAGTGGAAAGGCTCTCCTGGCGACAAGCTTCTTGAGCCGGCCCTTTTGTCCTAGAGGCGATCTCTTCTGGCTTTGGCTCCTGGTTTGTTCTTCATGGTTGGGTCCTTAGGTTCCACAACTTTTTGATTTGCATCTAGCAAGTTCCACTTTGGCCTTCCACTTTGCCCACTTCTCCCCTCCAGTTTGAGGCACCACATGTATCCTCCCATGGATTGCACAAGACCGAATCCGGAAAACTGAGCACCGCCAGGGTTTCGCTTGGCCAAGACTTGCTCAACACGCCTTAGATTCTTTGCATTCATGGGATCAAGGGGTTTATACAGGGGAATCTCCCTCTTTACATAGGGGTTAGTCTCTAGGAAGCCCTTTTTGTGAAATAGGGGTGTGAAAGCGAGAGCCGTCGGCTCACCATGGCGTCCGCTTCGGTGTTCCGAAATCGCCGTCCAAAAAGGGGTGAGAAGGGTACCAAGCCTTGACAAAAAAACACACACACACACACACACACACACACAGCACAAAATTATGTGTGGGTCGGCATTTCCATTAGGTTTTTCCTTTCGGCTTCCCCTAAAACAACAACAGTATTCATAGTATTCTATTCCGATGATGCGACTCCGAAAGCCATCCATGCAGCCCAAAAGACTCCGCTCTTTACCCTGGTGAGGTTCCCATAAAGCTCTTGGTGCATCTTCCCAGACACCCGGTGGGTTGTGAGCCCTTTCCATTTTCGTTTGGAGGGGGCAACTACAATAATTTGCTGGTGCGATAGGTAGGAAATGACAGTTGTAAACCAGAAAGGGTTTCCCTTACAGGAATCCACAGGTTAGATGGTTTGGTGCATGATTGTTGGAGGGGTTGCAATAAAACACCGCTTCAGTTTGGGTTCTCGGACAGGTCGATGACGCCCGGGACCTGCTGGCCGCGCTGCTGGACGCCATTTGCTTCTGCCTTAGCGTCAAAGAAGTCCTTCTTTTCAGGAAACTATATCAAACACCCAGCGGAAACGGCCGGTTTTTGAAACGAACGATGGTTGAAAAGAATGGAACAGGAATCAACCCCGGTGCTACCTAGCCTGCAGGGATGGTAATCATAGTTGTCCTTTTTGTGTTTGTTAGCTTGGACAAAAACAAACAATCAAAACACATAATAATGATAATAATGATGATGAAGATAGTGATGATAATAGTACAAAACAAAACGGGGTGATCACCTTTCAGGCCCAAGGGGGGCAAGTGAGGTGAAGGTGGGTTTTGTCTCCAGCCTTGATCTGGAGATTTGGATTGCGCGCGGATTGCGAGTGCAATCTGCAAGGTCCGAGATCCTCGGGTTATGAAAGGATTTGGTCCCCTTACGGGCTTCAAAAAATGGGCGTGGTTCAGTTTTTTTGACTGTACCCCTTTTTGGGTGGTACAGGGAAACCAAAAGGAAAACCAAAATCCATGTGGGGGCGGTCTCCAACCTTAAAACGTCATACCCAAAGCGATGTTTTACGGAAAATCGGACCCACCCAGATCTTGAGAACAGCCAGGAAATGTAGTTTCTTGTATTTTCGGTATTTGTTTGGCATTGAAAGGTATGTTTTAGTATTTGTTTACATTTTGTGGTATGTGTCAGCATGTTTCGGTTATGTTCCCCATGTAATGGCATGATTCAGCATTTTCCCATACATTTTGGTCCTCTTGCAAATGAAGACGGAAAGCAACCCACTGCTGAAAAAAGTGCCCCCTGCTTTCATCGAGAAATGAGTTGGACATGGGAATGGAGCGAACTTGAACACGCTCCTGTTCACTTCTATGAAGTAGGTGTTTTGTCCTAGAAGGGCCCCTACAAGCGCCGATGTCCATTTCAAATCCACTCACAAGATTTCCAAACCAGTTCGACCCATTTCTGAACATACACCAATACCTTTGGTGAAAGTAGCATTGATACTTCGTCTTTTCCCCGTGGGGAAACGTGAGGCCTGGATGACGTGCCAGCCACAGCTCGAGCTGTCGAGTCTTTCCTGCAGAGGACAGGTGCCCTGTTGCATGGATGCATTCTCGACGTGGCTGCTTGCTGGTTTACCCAGGGTATAGAGTTCTAGGGATAGGCCGTAGTGAAAAAGGTGTACGCCAAAGAGAAACCAATTGGGAGGTGTTCTTTTTTTATGTTTCTTTGTCGTGCCTTGTACAAAACCTGCCCGGATTGTCACCCAGTTTCGCAGGGCCGAAGGAAAACCCTCGAAGCGATGTGGAGGCTGTGAGCCACTGGGAATCCGATTGCTGCTCACCAGGCCCCCCGGTTTTCTGCTTCGGGGTTTCCTGTTTGCCATGGTCAAAAGATCGGTTCTTAACCTTGGGTTGACGTTGGGATGGTCATCCTGGGATCCTTTAGAACCATGCGATTCCTGGAAGCCATGACTCAATCGGCCAAACAAGTGTTCAGACTTTTGACCACGTCACATGTGGTGGCAGAGGACAAAGTCCTGGCGCGGCAACAGTGAGGCTGGGCAAGAAGCTGATCGAAACTCGTTCTGGGAAGAGTTATCCCGTGTCATACCCGGAAACAAATATCCCAACCTTCAAATGGACCATTTGTCATTTGGAAGTCTTCCCATTGGTATCAAAGAAGTGGTGATTCCCACAACCTTGTTTGAAACATGAAAGGCTGTGACAGCTGACGGTTGGTCAACTTAGGCTAGAATCTTCGGGGACCATGATTGCCTTTGGTTGTCAAGCTTACGGTGATTAGCCAACATTTAAGCGCAAGTATCCGTTCAATACATCCCACAGGCATGTGCTTATTGCAGCTCACTGTTGAACGGCAGCTAGACTGTTTGTTGCAGACTGCGTTTGGACACTGAACGCAATGATCCGCGTCCTGGGTCGATACCAACGCTACTTGCAATGCTCAGTGATTCCAACAGGTAGCCTAAAGGAAAGGCGTAGAAGCAAGCCCGGGTCTTTGCTTAGAGTTTGCAGGCGCCCTGGACGCTGGTCTCAGACCTTTTTGGACACTTCAATGGCTTTTCCATAAAGCCTACAAAAGGTGTCCACCTTTTGCTCAGACCTAGCAGTAACTATCACCGAAAAAATGCTGCCGCCCAGCCCTCACTCTAGTGTTCCGTAAATAAAGGCATTCGCTCACAAAAAGAAAAGAATCATAGTTAGCGAACAATGACGCAGCAACTGGTCAGAAGAAGTCGAAGCAATGCGCATCCACATATCGAGCGAATGTGTTTCACATCGCCATCACGGCAACCAGGCACCCAATTCAGACCGGCAAAACGCGGTAATACTTTGGATGGACGAAATCCATTTCGCACCACTTTGAAGCCATGGGAAGCCATTGCTTGTTGGTAATTTACAGGGGAAGCAGACCATTCCAGGGTTTCTTGGGTGGTGCGAAATGGATTTCGTCCATCCACAGTAGCACCCCGAAAACGAGACATATTAATATACTTGAGGCGCTTGAGACACACATGTGTCTTTGGAACATGAGGTCAATGAGTCCAAACGGCTGCAGGGCTGGAGAATGAGGTGGCAACACCTGACCGTTCGACCACGTAGCTCATATGTATATATGGGAGTGTTTGTGCCAGTCCCTTGTAAGAAACTCCTCGAGTGGTTGGTGTGATCGTCACTGCAAGGAAGCAGTGGAATGCACAGAATAGACCTAGTGGCCTTCGTTTGATGGACTTCCAGTGAGCTTCTGCGAGCTCATAGAAGTTGGTTTGTGTGTGTGTGTTTTTTTTTCTTCCCCGAACGGGTGGGATTTCCTTTTGTCGTTCGCTTTGATGGTGTTCCTTGGCTGTGTGGGCTGTTGTACCCTTTGAGCCCAGCTGTGGAACGTCTTTTCCGTCCTTAAAGCTTTGCAATGACTCGTCCGAATTCTTTTTGCGTACAGGAGGTGAAAGGTCGTGATTCGGCGGTTCTAACATGGGTGTCCACAACCCCAAACACCCGGGCCAAGAGATTGAAGACTTAATTTGAACCTGACCACCATATAGCAAATATATCAAGGCTACATACCTCATTTTCCCTTGCAGGATGCAAGCAACCTTCGTCATTCGTCATCGCAGGCCTTGATCCATCACATGGTCGTGGACCATTTGCCTGGATCCCAGCTGCTCGTGGCCTCCAACTTGCCCAATGCGCCAAGTTTGGAGTGAGATGCAAAGATGAAATTGGCGCTGTGCTTGTGTTGGATTTCCCAAACAGCCGAAATAGGAAGGTCAATCCCGCTTTTCCTTAAATGTAGCCCCAAACCGCGGAATTGGCATGGTGCTTGTTTTGATGGCTCCTCCTCCAAATGTATGGTGGCCTCTTCTTTTGGGGGCGGATCGATCAAAATTCTCGCGGATGGATCCTCTTTTCATCGGGGTTGGAGGTGTTCCGGGCCGGTTTCCCATTAATCTACAAGAACCCGGGGTTCAAACCACTCCAAGCCAATCCAAACCACTTGGGCAGTTTCTGGGAGGGGTTTTGGAGGTATGGAGGTTTTACCATGTGTACAAAGTGTACTTGCTAGATTATATTGGTGGTAAGAGCATTTGCACCTCCAAAACCCATATCTGCAAATGCCCGTGAACCATTGCTTGATGTTGCGAACAGTGTTTGAGGAAAATACCGGGACCCTCCGAGAACTGTGACGCTATTTGCCTGGTCCAAAGCAAAGCTGCAAAGCCTAAGTTGTTTGAAGCTAATTGCAGGGTCCCTTCCCAAACATTCTATCTTCCCATCCTTTCCAGAGATCCGGGATCCTTGCCAGAAAACCTCCAGAAACCCAGGGAAAACGGCCGGCCGGTTTTTGAAAAGAAAGATGATTGGAAAGAATGAAAAATCAGCCCCTGGAAACATCCGTGAAGGCAACTGGCGACCTCCCTTTTGATTTCTTGCATGGTTGGCAAAGGGACAGAGACAAGCCAACGCGCCCGGCCAATGTTCCGAGCCACCCGGACTTGAAGCGCTGCATGCAAACGGACTCCTCTGACTAGTGAGGATTCCGAAGTTTGGATTACCAGGGTAAAACCTACCACCCCGCCTTTTGGATTTTCCGTTGTGTTGTGGTATGTTAGTGGTAAGCATAAAGTTCCTGGACTTGTTGTTGCCAGGCTCCACTTGTTTTTGGGGTTCTTCCGACGGTCGGCCTTCGCCCGTGGCTTGCGATAGGCTTCGTCCAAGTTGCTGCTTGGCACTTGAACAAAGCAAATCCTGGCTTGGCCTTTTCCGGCCCCTAAACTTGCTAGTTCCCAGCCATCCGGTTGCTTAGGTTTTTAAAGTTGTTAGTTAATGTTGTGTGAGTGTCCATGTATTCCGCAAGTCGAACTTTTCGCAGGGGACCTGAGGTCAGGCCAGTCTAGTTTCTGGTTAAAAGGTGGCACTTGAACCAAAGACCTTTGAACACCCAAAGGTGAACACCTCCCCTGGTGCCGAGGTGATCAGCTCTCAAAACGGATCGACTCGTCTAAAACCTTTGGGTTTTGCAGGGCGTGTCAAGGTTTTTCACCCGTTTCGGTTCCGTTTTCAAGGGAAACCACGAGGAGAACGAAGCGTTTCGCCGAATTTTTTGCGGGGGTCCGATCCGATTTCCTTTCGAAAAGGGACGAGCCATGCCTGGGCTGGGTCTACCCAGCTCCGGAAAGGTGATCTTTTCTTATCTGGACTCTCAAACTACCCTCCAAAAAGAGAACTCACCAACCACAAGTTCGGGTTGCCACAAACCATTGTTTAAGACAGAATGTTGAGGGGTTCACCCCAAAAATGTGTGGGCTTTGCAATAACTCCCGTTTATTGTTTTCTTCTTCTTCTTTTACCAGGGGAACTGCGAGGATCCAGGTACTTCCATTTGCTTAACAATCGATTTGTTTGTTTATGATTTTCCCTTGTTGGTTAAAGAGGCATTATAACTACTGGGCGTAGTTATTTATTTTTCCCAGGGGTCTTAACCAAATGGAAGGGTAGGTTTTAGGCGGTGCGGTTTTCCTCGCCCGGGCCGCACGACTCGCTGGGGTCATCTCGTGGACCTGGAGGCTCAGCAGTCCTCGACTGCACAGACTGCTGGAAGAGATGCTCCAGTCCGACGTGGTGAACTGGGCGGAGGCAGGTCGTGGACCGTGGTTGCCGTCTGGTTTTTCAAGGTTGGAGCCGCTCAAATGGCTGAAAACTGGTCTTGGAGCAAGGTCTTTGCGCTTTTTGGTTTTTTTTTGGGGGGGCTTCTGTTCATTTGTTTTAGTGGCCTGCAGACGCAGTTCTTTTTGTTTGCTCTTCGAGATATACTAGTTTCTCGCCGCCTGGCTATGCAGAATCGGGTCCCAGACTGTGTCAAACTGTGTTTGGCAACCTGGCGCAAAGCAGAGGGCTTGCTACTTCAAGATCCCTTTGCAATGTTGACCCCGGATTGACAAGCCCATCCTGTGAGTAGAGGGGTGTTCCCTCCAAAAGTGGTCTGACCCCCCCCCCTTCCCTCCCCCCAATCAAACCTTACTTCCTGAGTTCTGGACTTTGAGCTTTCTGGGGGTTGGACCATTTTAGTATTTACACAAAAGTTTGGACGTTTGGGCCATACATTCAGGAAGTGAGAATTCAAACAGGAGTTCTAGATAGATCCCGGGTTCCCGGTAAAATACAATCTCTGTCAGGCAAACATAGACGGAAGTTCCGAGAACTGTACGTGGGTGGCTCGTGATTTTTCTTCAGTTGGACCCCCCAAAAGTTGGTGTCTTTTCAATCCACCAAAAAGGTGGCCCTCAAACTACCCTTCAAAAAGGGATTTCACCCCACAAGCTTGGGGAAACAACCCATGTTTGTTCCAAAGGGTCCTTCCATGTTCGGAGGGCATTGGACATGCTTGCCGTTTTGCCACTCGAAAGCCATGGGAACGGTGGCCGAAGCTCCATTGGAGTCGCTTCGGACGCCGCCCCAATATAGTTGGTGAAAGCATTGTCTAGGTCCCCCAGTAGTGCCCTTGTACCTTTTTTTGGGGAGGGTCCCCTACTCAAATAGACTACAGAAAAAAGTTGGTACCCTTATTCTAACCTCTCTACTGGAGGACCTAGTCATTGTACTTGACCCAACGGGATTTGTGCCATCTACTTTCACCCTGGTGAAGCTGTCCTTTTGTACCCACGCCCCATCTAAGGGCACGGGTACGAATGAACAGCAATTTTGTACTGAACCGCCGTGCTTTTGAAACAAATTGACCGACGGACTAATTAGGGATTGAAGACAGGCTGCCCAGCTTCCCAAAGAGACACGAAATGACCCTGCAAGGAGCGCCTTTGCCTTCATTTGCTTAAGAATATTGTTCATGTCCCCCTGTTGGTCTTAACAGGAATCTATCCCTACTGGAGAAATATGTCTTTGTTTCTAGGGGAAGTATATCCGCAAAATGGAGGTTAAAAGAGCCTTGCTGTTGATAATGTAGTAGCTGAATACTCTGTGGCCAGCCCCTTCCCTGGAAATTCCTTATTTCAGGATTTGTTTGTTGTTTGGCGTGCAAAGGAAATCATGTATGTCCCAGGCTCGCAACATCAAAGCAAGACACTCATGAAGCGCCACATAGCTACCTTCTAGAATGCACTAGGGAAGAACGTGACCAGAAAAACAAGTTGCAAGCCAACTTCCTCCCTGAATTCCTGGACTTCATTTTTTGGGGGGAAGACGATTCTCGTGGTGAAACCAAGTCTGGGTACTTTTTAAGGGCAATCTACTGGACCGGAAGTGAGATGGAGGGGGGGGGGGGGGGCAAACGTGTTCCCAGTTCGGGGTGAAGGTCTAAGCCGCAGGTGCTGCAGCAGCGTGCGAACAAGAGCCGCTTCGCCGGGGAGTTGCTGTGGAAGCGCCTCCCGGATCGATCCCGTAAATTCCCGGATCCGTGGCGATCCGAAGCGACCACAGATACGACGTTCGGGGCCTGTCGCGATTTCGCATGGCTGGTCGCTTCTGGCTGAAATGAATGTGGTGGATTTTCCCCGCTTGGTTTTGAAAGAAATTTTTCACTACTGGAACTCTTCTCATGTTTGCCAGGGGACTTTGGCAAATGGACGATCGCAGCGACCAACACGGATTCGACTTTGGGCGATTTCACATGGCTCCTCGTCCCGCATAGTTCATGTGGCTTTATTGCAAAACCTAAACCGTTTCCTTGGGCTCCAAGCAATTGGTTCCTTGTTTGTTGGCCAAATCAAACAGTTACATAATTATATCGTAAAGGCCAAACAACGAGCCTTGCTCATTTGCGGAGGGGGAAGGGAGGGAAGGAGTGGGAGCCCAAGAAAGCTTGATCCCTCCCTCCCTCCCTCCCTCTCGCTCCCTCGCTCGCTCGGCCCTCCCCTCCCCCGCCCCCTTCCCCCCTCCTCTCTCCCCTCCCCTCCCCCCTCCCCTCCCTTCATGACCGCAGATGGGCAATTCGGCTCCCCTCCCTCCATCCCCTCCCCTTCCCTCCCCTTCCCTCCCCTCACCTCCCTCAATACCTTTTTTTTCGTGTTCTAGTTTTTTTTGTTCTTTTCGGGGGGGGGGGGGGGAGCAACTTGAGGGTGCTAAGATCCTTCCCCCCCAGGATCCCCCTCCCCTGCCATAACCAGACGTCGCGCGCGCCGCTGCGGAGAGGTACCACCAGCAGCGCGGCCACGCGCGCCCGGCCTGGGCCCAGCTCCAGCGCCTGGTGGAGACGCCGCAGGCCGAGCGGTCCATCGACTCTGAGCGGCCAAGACATGTGGTTCCATGGGCCGAGGGTTGGAAAGACAGGGGCTTCTTTTAAGGAAACCCAAAACACAGGAACCATGCTTGGCAAACATAGATGGGTTCCCTGGTACATGGGGCATTCCAATCTAAACCAATGGCTTGTCCGTTTTGGTTGCTTTTGAACATAGATGGATTTTCCTGGTAGATTAGATGGTTTCGACAATCTACCAGGGGGGGATCTGTTTTCAACCAAAATGACGACCGTGGTTCGGGGAGTACGTAGCTTAGGCGTTGCCTCCGAGTTTGCCTTGGGAACTTTTGAGCTTCGGTCCAATCCGGGAAAACAAATTGGTCAGTCCAGGTTCGGGACATGCACTGATCTCAAGAACATGTCCGAGACACGTACAGTGGATGTTTTCGAGATCCGTCTGCATAATTTATGGTGAGCTCACCTGGGGGTAAAACCAGCTCATCAGGGTAAAGATCCTTTACTTGGGGAACCCTTGTTTCAGGTTTTCGAAATATTGAAAAGAATGCAGAAGCCGTCCGCACCACGAAAGGAAACCATGGTTGAATTGAAACCATGATTTGTTAGTATTTACAGGGGGAAGCAGACCATTCCAGGGTTTCTTAGGTGCTGCAGGATTTTGTTTGTTTACAGTAGGTGTCCTTTTGATCCGCTAGGAATAGATGAGGTCCAATGGTTTGGATTGGTTTTATGCCCTTGGTACCAGGGAGCCCATCTATCTTTGACAAGCATGGTTCTGTTCAAAACCAGTTGTTTCCCCTGTGTTGCTGATGATTTCCCTAAAAGAAGGATCCCTGGAAAGAATGGGGAAGCTTCGCGTGTGTGTGCGATTCGCTGCTCCTTCGCGTATCTGACGCGCATGACACTTCTTGGAGCAATGGTTGAAGCTGCACAAGTTAAGAGGAGCTCAGCAAGCTGGCCCACGATGAGAGTTTTCTTGGTTGAACAAAGTCCTGATGGATGCCAGGACCCTTTCGTTTTTGGGCGAGTAAGGATCGTTTCGGAGTGGCCGCACAGTGAAGGAGTTGTTTTGGGTAGCGATGGATGAGGGCTTATCTTTACTGCTGTCCCATTCGCTTCTCAGCTCTTTGGTCTTACTCAACTTTCACGGTCAAAGCCAACAGCCACTGCGCTTCCAAGCAGCAACACTGCTTGATTGCTGGCAGTGAACAGGTGCGTTGGTTCTTTGCTTGCTTGCTTCCTTGCTTCCTTCCTTGCTTGCTTCCTTGCTTGCGTCCTTGCTCGCTTTCTTGCTTGCTTCCTTGCTCGCTTTCTTGCTTGCTTCCTTGCTTGCTTCCTTGCTCGCTTCCTTGGTTGCTTCCTTGCTTGCTTCCTTGCTTGCTTCCTTGCTTGCTTTCTTGCTTGCTTCCTTGCTTGCTTCCTTGCTTGCATTTGCTTGATCGTTTGCCTTGCCTTTCCTTGCCTTGCCTATCCTTGCCTTGCCTTGCCTTGCCTTGCCTTGCTTCTTACCTGCTGCTTGTTTTGTGTGCTTGTAACAATAACCTTTTGGGTATGTCGCAAAATAGCGGGGAACCAAAAGGGGTCTGCCAGTTGCAAAACTCCTTGTTGGTCCTTTTTCCAGTGAGTTTCCTATTGATGTTATGTTTGAAGTGGAACGATACGAACCCCTTTGGGGTGCTCGCGGTGTTCATGGTCGCCACGTGTTGGATTTACTGTTTCACCGTTCCGCGCTCAGTTCTACAGCCTGAAAGACCGCATCAGATACTTGCACCAAGCGAAGGACAGGTGCTTTTCCGTTGATTCTCAGCGGCGCTCTCTGGATCAACATGCGTTCTGATTCAAAAACAAAAAGGATTGTCTTAGACCTCCACTTTCCATTGTTAATTTTGTTTTGAGGGGGGTGGGTTCGCTTTAGACACAGATTACTAAAACTCAGTGCCTTGTGTTCCCCACGGAACTCCACTGAAGGTCTGGATAAATCAACCAAGAGTTTACTCCGTCAGCATCGGCAGTGTAGACAAACTCGGCTAGAAGGCTTGCAATTCATCCAGTCTACCACAAAATCAAGGTCGATTTGGCACTTGCAGACCTTTGCTTTTTTTCATATAGAGGATTTAACTAGAAAGACCTTTGATTTCCATATTGAGGTGTTCCTCACAATTCCTACACACGAAATATGAAGGGATCAGGTTCGAACCAACCCTGCAGAACCATGTTTCGGGGTTTCCACCGCGGAAAAAGATGGATGTCATTTCTGACCAATTTCTTGCAACTTTCAATCCATAATTGGTTTTCCATTTTTCTTGTTTCTTTTCGTGGCCCGCCGCAGTGGGGAGTTGGCCAGACACGCTTTTGGATGTTTGCTTTCATGAACCCAAAGTTTGGAGGAGCCCCCCCGGTTTGTGAACCGTGTCAAAGCTGGTTGTTCCTTCCGGAAGCAACAACAGCAACTCCTAAATGGCTGGGGCTCAAAATTAAACAGGTGGGGTTACGCGGGTTTTGGTCCATGTTTCCACTTACCAAGGTTCCATTTTGGTACTGGCTTTTTGAGCCACAGCCAAATAGGATTCTATGGGATTTCACGATTTTGAGGCACACCCTGTCAAGAGCAGACAGGGCTTCTTTTGGGTGCCTAGATGCCCGTTAGGTGGCACGATGTAAAGATGCACGAACCAGGATTGAAGAGCAGACGCCGCAGAGATGCGCACTCGCCGATTGCTCAACTTTCGTGGCGACCAATTCGGCATAGAACTTAAATGACGTCCTTACCTGCCAGCAGTGGCACTGCTTGTTGTCCAGTGTTGATTGTTTGTTTGCGTGGGGTGGGGCAGCGGTTGATGTTCCTTTGGACACCAACCAACTAAGCAAGCAAGCAAAGCAAGCAAGCAAGCAAGCAAGCAAGCAAGCCCTGCTGGTGGGTTCTTTTGATGGCTTTCATCCCGCGCACTTTCGATACTGCGCTGCAGGAGCAGAAAAAGGCGCAGCCCAAGGAGGAGTTGTCACTGCGCTTGGAGGCAGCTGAGAAGCCCAGTTGAAATCGGGAGGTTCCGGGGTGAGTCCGATGGCGCAATTGTCCAAGAGGCCATGTCCAGGAATTCCTAGCTGGTGGTTGGAAGAGAGCCATTACACAGCTAATGTGTCCAAGTTTGCTGTCAAAGAGGGAGCCTTTCGGAGCCAGCAATCGGAGTCCGGTAAAGACATGGCAGATTCTCTAGGAAGTTGGCCAAATACCCAAGAAAACCGGGGCTTTGGACTGATTTCTGGAGAATGTCCTGGATATGGTTCAGGGTTGTGGGATCACTCGGGCTGCAAATCCAACCACTTCTGTGACATCCTGGGGAATCTTCCCCTTCGTGTGGGGTAGGCCCTTGTAGCATCACAGACTCGTGGATTCCATTTCAACCATTGCCCTGTTTAGGGATCTCCTCAGCAGTGCTGTTTTAGACAACTAAGGATTTCCAGAGGTGCTCGATGCCTGGATTCGCTCCTAGGTCACCCAGCTAATAGGTGCTCTTTCTCTCCCCTTTTTTGGGTGGGAGGTTTCCCCTGCTAACATTAGACGACAGAAAAAAAGGGTACCCTTATTCTAAGCTCTCTACTGGAGGACCTAGGCTCGTTCTTCTGGGCAGCCTGATAGGGGGTTCTTATGGCCAAATCCGGATGGGTTCCCAGGTTTCCTTTGTTTGTTTGGTACACATTTGGGCCGAGTGGATTTGTGTGCGTGGTTCCAATTCAATGGTTCTCCAACAAATCAACGGTCCATTCGAGAAAATTGATAGTATATATATATATATATAATATTACTTTCTACCTGTTTGTTTTCTGTGTAATCTATCACTGGAAATTTGTTCAACTCATTTTTCCAGCGACTTAAGCACGTGGAAGAACCCTCGTACTCTCGATAAAGCGGTGGTTCACAAGCGCAGGAATCCTATTAAACCGAACTCACGTGAAGAAAGGCCAGAGGGGTGTCTTGACGAACATGAGGATCCATTGAGACTTGAAGGTGTCAATGAACATGCGGGGTGTTGACGGAACCCATCTCAAGGGTATCAGCTATCATCTTAGGATCAGCTTGGATCAGCCAATGTTGGATGCTGTAAGGCAGTCAACTGGAAGCCAAAAATCCACGGGGTCCTTGACATACATTTCGATCTTCCAGGTTCACACCGAACAGTGTCACCGAAAACTTGGCTTCAGCAAACTCTTGCTGTGTCTCAAAGGGTTTCCTTTGAGACAAGTCAAACACTTTCCAACCGTTTCCCAAACATGTCCCAACCTTTCTTCAGCCTTTCCCAACCGTTTCCGCTCGTTTTCCAACCATTTGTCCAACTTTTCTCAAACAACTACATTTCCCAGCCATTGTCTCAACCTTTCCCAGATTATTTCCCAGCCTTTACCGATATTGCATTTCCAATGTTCAACCATGTGTCAACCATTGTCCACTGGTTCCCTATAACTATTGAGCCTCCGGCTCAATCCGCCGACATTGCAGTTTCGCCTGGGTTTCCCCTTCAGTTCCCCTTCACTTCCTTATGTCCCGTCAGGTCCTATTTCCGCATCGTGGCCCCTTCATTTCCTTTCAATTTCCCTTTCATGTCCCTTGCCTTTGCCCCTTCATTTCCCATGCATTTCCCCGTCATTTCCAGTCATATCCTTCCTACATTTTCCTTGGGTTCCGTTCAGCTCCCCCCACTGTCTTTCATTTCCCTCTCATTTCCCTTCGTTCCCCCCGAATTTCCCCGTCAGTCCCCCTTCAGTACTTCCCCGCACTGTTCTGCATTTAAATGTTCGCACATGTCCCCTGCATATACCCTTCATGTCCGATTCATTTCCCTTCATTTCCCCTTCATTGCAGCTTATTTTCCCGTTCGTTTTCAGAAGGGTGCTCAAAAAACCGGTGTTGTGCAGCCTGAAGGCGGCCAGGAAGCGGTCCAACGTTTTCGCTGGAAGGCGGTTGAAACACAGTGTTTTTCAATGTTTCCGGCAAGAGGCAGAAGACCCGAGGCAGAGAGCCGGGAGTCGAGACCTCTGTTTTTCCACACCGGCCGGAAGACGAGGACGATTTTTCGTGGAACGTCATCAGATTGCCGCGCGGTGGCCCCCCCCCAACCCCTAAACCCCTAAACCCTACCAGACGTGTCCTAGGGCGGGATTGAGGGGTGTGTGTTAACCTCTGTCCTCTCTTAGCTGTCCGACACGCTGAACAATGTCAGCGCAACGGCAACAAACATTTAGTTACTACCCCAGTCTTCATGACTACAGTTGGTCCAGGTCTCCCAGTAGTGCCCGTTTACCCTTGTTGGGGAAGGGTTCCCCTACCAAACTAGACTACAGAAAAAAAAGTTGGTACCCTTATTCTAACCTCTCAAATCTGGAGGACCTAGTGGTCGTAACGCACCAAAGCCATCCCGACTGAGTCACTGAGGCCGAGCAATTGCAGCTGCCGCTGTTCAATGAGCTCCAAGTGCTGGCCACTGAGGCCTCGGATGAGAGGCGCGGATGAGTGGAGGGGTTCTCGTCGCCTCAAATGTTGGGCTCTGAGTCACCAGCAAAACTTGGGTAGTTGGACAGGGCTCCTTAAAAGATACATTTTGCCCATTTGAAACATGGCTTTTTCCACCAAAATAAATGGACACCACCATTTACAAGGCGATGTTCAGGTGTATAATGCATCCGGATCCCTGTTGGAGGGTAGTCAGGGGTGATCCCGCTGGGTGCGGCCGCCTTTTCAACTCTTTACATGGGTCATGACAAACTTCAGAATCCAACTGGGTACATCTATTTTGCGTCCCGTTTGACCCCCAATTATCTGGCCCCGACGGAAGTGTAAAACCCTTATTGGAGCCACAGTAGATGGCACAAACCCGGGTAGAGTAGCTTAAAAAATAGGGGTGGCCTGGGGGGATTTGAACTCCCGGGCGATTGCAGGCAAACAGATGCTGTTTTGAAAGGCAAAGGAGCCAAGTAATGCATGCTTTGCACTGGACAAATTCTATTGAGACGTCGCGGGGCGCGGGGGGGGGGGGGGGGGCGAAGCTCGCAAAGGTTCTTCTAAAAACGGCTGCAAACTTTAGAGGGCAAACGTGTCCTGCAAGCAAGCACACAGACGGACCACAAGCAAACAATCAAGCAAAAGCAAACAAACAACCATCCAACAAGCAAAGAAACAACAAGCAACCGTACAAAGAGACAAATCAAGCAATCTCAAGCAGAGTCAATCAAGCAGAAGCAAGCTAGCTAAAACTAAAACAAAGAAGCAAACGAGGGTCCCCCCAGTTGTGACGCTCGTTTTGCGACAAACTTTTCCCAAAGCTCACTGCAGGTGGCGCGCGGCGGCCAGAAAGAGGTGCCAGGCGTGCGAAAAGGTTCGGTTTCAACGTGATGAACTGGCTGTGGTGGTCAAAACCGTTTTGGGATCCCATTTTGGGGTGGGTGCACTACCTATGTTAGTCGATTTTAGTGGTTGGATTGGGATGTTCACTGGGGGTACGATGTGGGTTTTGACCCATAACTCACCGCCTGAATTCCCTGGCTTACTTTTTCAGGCTTGGACGATGTTGGTGGTAAACCACCAGTCAGCAGGTTTGACTTTTGTTGGCCAATCCACCCCACTCCCTGAGTTTCTGAACTTGTTTTGCATGATTGAAGATTGAACAGTTTTAGTGGTGAACCAGCAGTTTAGACTTTGTTTGGCCAAATACCACCCAGGAAGCGAGTGAAGGCAAGGGCTGAAGAACTGGCATGGGGGTTGTGAGGTACTTTGAAACCATTCGGCACGATTTTTCGGGTATACTTTTGGCACCATTATCCTCTAAGATTGGGACATCCTCCATTGTAAATGGTTTGTATAGGAAACCAACCACCCCTAGCGGTAAGTTTAAGAACCCCTCAGAACGCAACGATTTTAAGGGACGCAGTTGATGATTCCCTCCTGCACCCTCAACTATTCTCAAACATGGAGTATTGTTTCACCTATGGGATCATTCTCCCCCTCCCCCGCTTTTTTCTTGTTTTTTTTTCTCCGGGGGCGGGGGGGGCAGTTTGAGAGGTGGGAAGATCCTCCCCCCCCCCCCCCCGGTTTTTTTTTACTTTTCTCCCCCGAACCTTCGGGGGCGCAGTTTGGTCAAAGCCTTTGGACCGCCGGAGCCCGAGAGAAGTCTTGCGCGAGCGAGCGCCAGGAGTTGAACCAATTGCAGGGCCTCAAGGAGCTCTACGAGGCGCGAGACACTTCTCACCGTGACCGCCTCAAGGCGCTCGTCTCCGAGGCTTTTCTTGTTTTTTTGCCAGGCTACAAAGGAAACATGTGGTTTGTTTAGCCTTCTTGGCTTTTTTTTTTGCGGTTTGTTTGGTTCTGTTCATGTCGTTCTTGGCAAGTTGATTGTTTTATTGGTGTTTTTGGTTCTGTTCATGTCGTTCTTTTGGCAAGTTGATTGTTTTGTTTTTCTCTGTCTTTTTTTGGCTCTGTTCATGTTTAGTGGGGGGCTGCAAAGAACAAAGTTGTTTGCCATACCAAGAGGTAAGTGTGTTTTTTGTTTACGGGGAACCGCCTCTTAAAGGTGGTTGGTGGACATGAACCCTGTGCCTCTGATGTCCGCCAAAGGGGTTCCCCGTGAAATATTTCGAAGCGGTTTGTGTCCAAAATATGGGAACCCGGTTTTGGGGGGGGGGGGTCCATCGTTTTCCCTTTCAACACAACTTCAACAGGGAAAAGGAGAAAACACCCATCCATACTGCGTGGACGAAATCCATTTCGCACCACCTAAGAAACCATGGGAAGCCATGGTTTGTTGGTATTTGCAGGGGAATCATCAGACACCAGGGTTTCTTAGGTGGTGCGAAATTAATTTCGTCCATCCACAGTATTAACGCCTGGCATACTTGTAACCTCAAACAGCCCACTGCCCAGAGCATTTCGACCTTTTGAGCTTTTGGCTTCTTGGTCAACTAGGTCCCCCAGCTAGGTGCCCTTGCTCACCCCTTTTTTGGGGAAGGGTTCCCCTACTAAAATAGATTACAGAAGAAAAGTTGGCACCCTTGTTTACTGGAGGTCGGTGATCAGCTTTGATTTCCAGGGTAGGTAAGCAGGTCGCATCCTGAGGTCCTGGACATCAGTCACTTTGTGGGTTTGGAAAATGCTAGGGATGTTTTTGTTTGCTGTTTTGTTTTGTTTTCCGCTTTTGGGTTTTTGGCTTCTTGGCTTCTTTAGATTTGTTTACCTACGTTTTGCTGGTGATGCTAGTGATGTTGGTAGGACATGCGAGGGATGGTGTAAAACGATGCTGGGGATATTCACGGGCTAGTGTAAAATACGTAATTGTCGCGAGACAATGCTGTAACATACAACATTTTGCTGGCCAAGACGACAAACAAAAAACAAAGAAGCAAAGAAAAAACAACACAAACATCCGCGCCCAAATGTTAGTGGTGAACCAACAAACAGTTTGGGCACTTTTTTCTGAGCACTCGATCGGAAGTGAGCTTCCAGGTCCAAACTGTTCAAGTGAGGTGAGGTTCAATGAGTCTGTCTTTTCTTAGGTTGGACCCCCAAAAAAGGCCAAATGGTGTTTTTTTTTTGGTATTCCTCTTTAAACACCAACCAAAAAGGCCGTGACACGGCAGGTCGCTGGGGAGTTTGGTCTTTGGCATTTGCAGCTCGCCATCGCTGGCTACTCAGGCGCGAACGAGCGCGTCTCGCGTCAATCGCTCGCGCCTTTGCTCGCTCGAAATGGAATGCAGGCAGTGCCTAAATCGCTGTATGCATGTGAGTGTGGTATTTTTAGGTGGTCCCCTGTTGGTTTTAAAAAAAACAATCCAAAAAGAAACCGGAAAATAGTTTAGTAGGGATGTATATCCTATGTTGAGACAAACTCATGTCCGTTTTGGTTCCCAGCGGTCCGGTTCCTGGGGGTTTTTAGATGTTAGTTGGCTTCGTGGGAGTTTCCGACTTTAAGTCACTAGTCATTCCCTTTTAGCAGGGGATCTGTTTGGACAGCCCAGAGGCGTCCTTTTTGGTTGAAAAATCGAGGGCTTTGGTTGGTTCAACAATCATCCGGAGCCATATTGAAGGGGTAGTTTTAACATGGAACCATCTCCCCTAAGAACCGGGATTGTTGGGGCAGTAGGGGGAATTCCACCTATCCAATCCACAAGTCGATAGACCCTTTGGACAGGCAACGTAAACAGCCACATGCATGAAATTCACTGGACATGTGCTCTGAAACAACATTGCAGACAGCAGACTAAGTTATTGAGATCTCAGCGAATTTGACCTCGAAGCTTCCGTTCGAGTGGATAACTTGGGTCAGGTGGGTGAACTTCACCGTCGTTGGCATGTTTTAGGACTTTTCTTATGTGTTTCTGTTGGATGTGTCCATTTTTTGTTGGGGGGCTGCAAAAACGTGTTTTTCCCCAGATAGCTGAAAGCTATAGGGGTTCTAACTTCTAATAAGGAGGGAACGTGATTTGCGAGATTGAGGGCCGGGTGCTAGGGGGCATGCAGTTTGGGGTGCTGGCGGAGGTGCAGTTTTGCGAGCTTGACGGCGGTGCTAGGGGGCATGCAGTTTGGGGTGTTGGTGGAGGTGCTGTTTTGCAAGCTTGACGGGGTGCAAGAGGGCATGTGCTGTTTTGCGAGCTTGACGGCCGGGTGCTAGGGGGCATGCAGTTTGGGGTGTTGGTGGAGGTGCTGTTTTGCGAGCTTGACGGCCGGGTGCTAGGGGGCATGCAGTTTGGGGTGTTGGTGGAGGTGCTGTTTTGCGAGCTTGACGGCCGGGTGCTAGGGGCATGCAGTTTGGGGTGTTGGTGGAGGTGCTGTTTTGCGAGCTTGACGGCCGGGTGCTAGGGGGCATGCAGTTTGGGGTTTTGGCTGAGGTGCGAGATTGACGGCCAGTGCATGTAGTTTGGCGAGTGCTAGGGGGGGATGTAGTTCGGGGTGCTTGGAGGTGGTGTTTGCAAGATTGACGGCCGGGTGCGGTGGAGGTGACGGCCGGGTGGTAGGGGGCAGTTTGCGCCGCTGGTGGAGGACCCTCAGCGTTAGGGGGCATTTAGTTTTTGTGGTGCTGGTGCAGGTGCTGCTCTGGGGTGCTGTTTGATTGAGGTGCTGCTGATGGTGCAGGCGCATTTTGTGCTACTGTTTGGGGTGTTGTATGCGACGCTGGTGACGTTGTGGGCGCAATTTTCCGAGATTGGCGGCGGGCGCTGGGGGGCATGCAGTTTGGGGGTGGTGGTGCAAGTGCTGTTTTGAGTTGCTTTTTGAGGTGCTGCTGACCGCGCGGGCGATTATTTTCCCAGATGGCGGAAAGCCATAGGGGTTCTAACTTCTAATGAAGAAGGGTAATTGTTTGCTGGGAGCTAGGGGGCATGCGGCGTGCGCTTTGGGGTACTGGGTGCGGTTTTGGGGGGTGCTGTGCGGGGTGCTCGGGGACGTGTCCGGTGCTGGCGCGGGTGCTGCGTTGGGGCTGTTTTTTTTAAGGTGTTGGTGATGGTGCGGGCGCATATGGACAGCAGGGTGCTAGGGCGGGTGCTGTTTGGGGTATCGTGGTTGTGGCATCATCACGATGCTGTCCGCAGCATCATGATGCTGTTGAAACGATTCGGGAGTTGTTGCTGCTGATGGTTTGTGGTTTGGTTCTTGTGTTTCATCAGGATGTTGTCAACCACGTCATGATGCTGCTGTCACTGCGATGCTGCGTTATGGTTCGTGGGTGTGGTGGCGCCATGATGCTGTCAACATCAGGATGATGCTGATTTTCATTACGCTGTCGCAAGATGATTTGCGGCTGTGGTGTCATCATGAATCATGATGCTGCCTCTACCATCACCATGATGCTGTCCGCATCATGGTGGTGCTGTCCGCGTCACCATGACGCTGTTTGCACCATCATGATGCTGTCGAACTCATGTTTCTGCCTTTTTCTTCTGCTAGATATGTAGCGCGGAATCGTTCGTGACTGGTGCATCAGCATATTGCTGTCAACATCATCATGATAGTGTCAACATCATCATGACGCCGTGGGAACCATTATGATGCTGCGTCATGGTTCGTAGCTGTGTTGTGCTATCTGGGGTCTATGCTGGTGTAATTTTTTGTTTTGTCCATTTTTTGTTGAGAGGGGGGCTGCAAAAAAAACTTCGTTTTTAGCTGCCATACCAAAGGTTGGAACGTGCATGATTGCTCATCACCCAGGGACTTGTGGACTTGTGGGCTTGGACGTGCAGACTACTACTGTGTCGAAGCAAGCCGTCAGCAGGGTGCACTCTGACATAATCCTCCAAACTGGGCGGATATCATTCCTGTTCATGCTGCCCACCGGATCAAACCACGGCCATTTGAGCGTATCAGCCTAGGCTGGCTGACTTGTTTCGCGTGCGGTCTATAGGTGTCGCCGTGATGACTTCATGTTTTGTTTTTTCTAGACTGTGTCATTTGCATCCCATATCTCAGTCAAATACTACACATTGCCTTTTGAGTTTTGCCATTTCCTGTAATTTATTAGGACATGTAGAAATACAGCCCCGAAATCATGTCTTAGTCCCTGCCCATGCCAGGAGTGAAGATGGCTCATGATGTGGCCACAACCTTGCCTACAGCTCAGTCCGCGATGCAAGGGCCGTGCCGTGAGCCAATGGGCTTCATACAGATCCCAGATGTTCTGGGTTTCCCGACGGGTCCCCAACAAGGGGCTCCCTTCAAAACTAAAAAAAACTGTCCCTATAAAACCAAACAAGAGGGGGTAAAAGAGACCAACGCCTTGGCCAAAAGAAAGCAAGTGCACACGATATGGGTATTGTGTCAAAGGTGCCCGAAGAATGGGCGGACACACAGACATGCACGCTCGCACATAGACACACATAGACATTCACACATACACATACACACACTTAGACACACATAGACACACATAGACTCGACGCCACATAGACACAAAGGGACGCACGCACACGGTGAGCATAAGCTTGGACATGACAGCGATGCTTGAGGTGGTTCGCCTTAGGCAATGTAAGCCTTGGACTTTTCAGGTGGGTTGGCCTGCTGTTCCCGCCTGAGTGCCTGTATGCAGAGGCTTGTCGGCATGGCGGAAACTGGGTGTGTAGTTGTTTAGATTTCCTGAATGATGCGTTTCATTGGGTTTGCCTGTAGAACCACCCGACAAAGGGCACCTTACAAAAAAAAAAAACTGTGGGCCCAAACTCGCTTGCAAAGCGTTGATTGGAGGGAAACGCTTGCGGTCGCCGGCAGCCAGTAAACAAACCTGTGCGCAGCACAGGCCCCTTGTCCACGGCTTCCTGTGAAGGGCGTTGATCCATGACGCTTAAACATTGCGGGGTTTAACATTGCGGTGGCGATTCTTCAATGGCGCAAACCATCGGGTGGAAAATATGATGACTCCTGTCCATGCTTAGAACTATTGAAGCATCCGTTTCCACAATCTGAACTTCCAACTGCAAGGTGCATGAATCAGAGTCAGTTTCCAAACACAACTGATAGGATAAACCATCACACATATCCTTATTCAAGTGCATCTTTTGATCTCCAATTGCACACATGTCACATCACATTAGAATACCTTTCCATCGGTGCAGACACATGGGTCAGTGCACTCTCTCAAACCGGTGACTTGTGCGATTCCAACATGATGTTGGGTGTTTTCCTACCATCCTTACCCTTGGGAAGGACCCCCCCCTTTGAATGCCATCTACATTTGGGTGCGTCTTTTTGTAGGACCCCCAAAATGGTAGTTTTCCTTTTGGTTTTCCTTCACCAACATGTCCAGTCTTTTCTATCATCTGGGTCTGCTTCAAGATAGGGAACCTCTTTTTCAAACCAAACCAAAGCAACCAGCATTCTTAACAGCCCTGAGCAAACCCGAAACCGACCGCCCCCTCCCGCTTCCGTGGGGTGAAATGCATAGAGCGGCTTGAGCACAGTGACTTGCGCAAAGTGACGTGCTGCGCGTAAAGTGACTTGCGCGTGGTAACTTGAATAGATTTACTTGCGCAAAGTGACTTGAGTAAAACGTCTGGCGTAGAATGTGACTTGCGCGGCGCAGAGACATTCGCGCGGATTGACCATAGGAGAGAGCTGCGCACGCAAAATGGCTTGCAAAGAGCAACTGGCGCTGAGTTTGGCGCGGAAAGCAAAGCGGCGGTTGGCTTGCGACTCGCAAACCACTCAGAATGAGAAAGCGCAAGCCGCCCCGATTTGGAAAGACCCGTCGCTAATCAGGCACCTTGTGTAGCTCCAAGTTCGATTTCGAGATGCGCGGAAGACTGCTTCGCAGACTTCCTTCTTGCTTTTACGTTGTAGTTTGCTACCAGCGCTGTGGAGGAGAACTTTGTGTACTATGTTGACTTCCGCGCTTAAACTGTTGCGATTGCTTGGAGACAGACCTCATGAAGAGCAATCCGAGCGCTACTTCCAAATCCCTGACCAAATGAAGTGCCAGCCAGCCCCCACTGGCCAGCCGCCCGGAATCCCCAAAGCGGTTTTGAGTTTGCAAGGTTTTTGTGACGCGAGCGCCAACCACTTGCAGCCAGAACCCAGCGCCCAGCCGCCAGCCACTTTGCCCAGTCGGGCCCAAAACCCTTATAGGGTCCAAATGTCAGATGACAACCAGGGAAGGCCCCCCCCCTTTCCGGCTTGTCATTTTCAGGAACATGAATTTGGGTTTGCCAGCCTAATTTCGGAGCAAGTCAAAACAAAACATCCGAAGACAACTCATTTGGGGTGCCCCAATGACACAGACGCTTGCCGTGGCAGGCCGCAAAAAGCCCTTGCGAGCTGTTCCCTTTGCTGATGCTGCGCCGGCAGCGATTCTTTTTGTCTGCGACTGAGGCCGGGGGGGGGGGGTCACAATTGCCCTTCATGGCACGCACCGGCTGCACCAGGGTTCAGAACTGGCAATATTCAGAGGTGTGTGCGTGTCTGTCTGTCGGGTGTGTGTTGGTGTGCTTCTTGGGAACCCCCTTTTGGCTGATTCAACATGGCCACTAGAAGCACCCTACTTTGCCCGTTCTGGGGTTGTGTTGCGAGATGTTGCGAGGAAACCAAAAAAACACCTGTCAGTGGGTGCTCAATGATTTGAAGACCATGTGCAGGCAGGCTTGATATAGACCCTGAAAATGAGTTGTTTTCCTTCTGACCCCCGTTTCAACCAACCCAAAAAGGGTGCCCTCGAGAAAACACATTTCGTTTCCTATTGCCGGCATTCGCAGGGTTTTCACAATTCTCTGAAACCTTCCAAAACCCAGGCTCCTTCGGCTCAGCTTGATAAAATCATGGGGTTCCCATGGGTGTGGCGCCTTTATTATTTTAAAGCACTGTTTTTTTGGTTTTCCTGGGATACCAAGAGGAACACTGGAACACCCCAAGAAGACGCTCAAGGTGGGGATCAAAAACATGGCAGTTTCATCCGGATCAAATGACAGGGGGATGCAGGGATGCCTGCAATGTCTTGCAAGCGAGGCGACATCAGCCAAGGCGTGCAACGATGTGATCCGACTTGTGAATGGCCATGGCCCTTCGTGAGCATTGCGGCGAAACCATGTAGCTGTTGCCATAGCAGATCAAACCATCAAACTGCTCGCACCCCCCATGTTTGGACATGACACAGAAGAGAAATAAAATATAATCGGGTCATTGAGGTAATATTTGCCTTTGTTGGCAGAGAAAGGGGGTTGCAAGGGAGCCGACTGATGCCTAGTGAGTACGGCTCTTGTGAGAAAGTTTACCCATAGGACAAGGGCAGTCTATATTTCGTTTGTTTTTTTGTACTGCACCATTGAGTGCCATTTTAAGCTATATAGGATCCTTTTTGTCAGTTGATGTAAAGGGACAACTCACCTATGTGGTAAAATTCCTGGAGGGCACTTCTAACAAATTGACATGGAACACAAAAAGGGGGTCCCGCAAGAGGAGTTTCCTCTACACATTTACAATTGTGTGCTTTCTGGGTTCCATGTTAAATTGTAGGAGAGTAGTTTTCAGTTGCCAGGAAGCTGCTTCGTTGTCGCCCACCCGGCCGCTGCTGCGGTCGCGGGTGCTCGGCTTCTTGCAGGAGCTAAGGGAGGCAAGGTGCGGAGGGTACTGCAAATGGCTGAAATTTACCCTCGAACAGGGTTGTCGTTGGAGAACATTTCTTACCATTTTTGCTTATTGTTGTTTAGTGGTTGAAATCCCACCACTGACCTGCTAAAATTTGAGAATGTTTGCTCCCCTTCCAACGTCAGCCAAGCGAAACCAACACGGAACCTGCACAGGAGTCCCTTAAAAGGACACTGGGCGGTCTTCCGGAACGGGTCCCTGCATAGGTTCTACGTTTGCTTTGGGAGGGAAATAGGGACCTCAAGAGTGGTTGGACATAAATTATCACCATGATGTTCACCAAAGGGTCCTGATTAAACATCACACAATGAAGCCGTTGTTTGGCCCTTAGGTCCCTGTTGCAAGGTGTTTTCGGGGACATTCAGAAGCGTGGCTTTTGATCCAGGAGTCGCCCTTGGGCAAAGGAGTCCACTATAGCATTTGGTATTCAGATGCGCGATTGACAATCTTTACTTGCTCTATATGGGTGTCTTTATTTGGGATGCCCCTTTCTTTGATTTGCTTTTTTGGTCAACCAAAAGGAAAGCCACAATCTTGAGAGTCCCTTTCTAGGTCCCCCAGTAGTGCCCTTTCTCACCCCTTTTTTGGTTGCGAGGGTTCCCCTACTAAAATAGACTACCGAAAAAAGTTGGTACTCCTACTCTAACCTCTGTAGCTTTATTTTGAGACACCCATATATCTTTTGACGGACGTGGCGAATTGCGGACTGAGAGGTGCAAGACCTCGCTGGTCGTTCTTCGTGCCAAGGTGATTTTCCTGTAGATAGCTTATGCAGTGGATTTCCTTTAAATGACCTAGGAGAACCGGCGCAACGACATCACAGCTTTTAGGTTAAATCGTGAGACTTTGGTTTTTCGGGGAAGTTCACATTTTGACCTTTGGTTGGTTGGATATTTTCACTTTGATGTGTTGGAGAAACGGTGATTACTCACCTGCAATTTAACATGGAACCCAAAAGTTTTGAGTTTTCCAGTTCTCCCCCCAAAAAAGAGTCCGTTTTCCAAGTTCCATGTTGATTTGTAGGGGAGTCTCCTGCTAAACTGCATGTTTTGTTTGTTTTTGGCTCAGGGGGTTTGAGCGCAGGTTGCCCCGACCAACCACCATCTATGGCACGCCAGATGTGCCCATGACCCAGTGCACCCAGAGGACAAATGAGTCACAACCAAAACCCGGGTAAAGAAAAGAGAAAGAAAGAAAAAACAGAGAAACCAAGGGAGAAATACACCTCTCATTGCCAGGTACATTCAGGTGAGTCACAACCAAAACCCGGGGATTGATGAAGGTTAGTAAGGGACAATCCCAGCCATGGATAGCTGCGGAATTCCGCCTTGATTCTTGCAGCATGGTTCTGGGTCGACCATGTTGATACCGGGTTTTGAGTATGATTCAAATGGCCAGCCAAGACTTGTGGAGAAATGGGGATGTTCAGCAATTGAAGCACCCAGTCCCTGAGTTCCGTTCGGACTTGAGAGTCACTTTCATGAGCCAGAGTGCACCTTGCAGACAGACAAATCGTGAGCAAGCTGAATCTGTGCCTTCAGTTTGGCCCTGGGTTACATAGCTCGGGAACGGCAAGTTGAATGCTCTTTGGCTTATATACTCCCTGAGTTCCGTGCGCACGTTCGTCACTTTTTGGAGTTGGACCATTTCAGTGGCAAGCAACAAGCTGTTTTTGTTCTTTGGTCGATCGGAAATGAGGTCCATGGACAAAAATCGCATCCGGGCCCCTGCCCTTAGACACTTCTGGGTGTGTCCTTTTTTGGGGTATACCCCTTTTGCTTGGTTGGGCCCAAGGGAAAGTCCATCTTTTTGGGGGTCAACGATTCCTATTTTTTATTTGAGGGGTTTAAAGGGAAGCTAAAGGAAGAGTTCCATCCTCGGGGTCAACGATTCCTATCTTAAGACAGAGCGCCCGAATCCATTGGTTGTCCCCTGAGCTGTGCCTGTGGTTTCACTTGCGGCTTCTGAAAGGCCGACGCCATAAGACCGATAGAACCCACGATTTGAGTGACAAAGACCGACGCAAGTGAGCCGCAACCAAAACCCGGGGATTGATGAAGGTTAGTAAGGGGCAGTCCCAGCATGTCCCAGCCATAAATAGCTGCGGAATTCCGCCTTCTTAATTCTTTACATGGTTCTGGGTCGACCATTTTAGTACCGGGTTTTGTTCATGCTTCAAGTGATGAAGACCCCCAGTTTTTGTTTCGCTTCCAACACCTGCCCGAAGTTTGGGCTGGGAGATAGTTCGCCCCCGTCT